TTCAGGAAAATTTTAATGTATGAACTATAAGAATTACTAAATTTGTGTAAAATTTTCTATTAATACAATTGTCAACTTAAATAAAATTCCTAATTTGCTTGCTATTCTAAGACAAATTTGTAATGTTAAGGTTTGCAAATCCTTTCATATGGATGTGTATAAATAAATAACTGGGAAAGGTTAGCATATTACTAAGATCTGTATTTATAATTATTCTACCAAAGTCAATCACCAAGGAAAAACTAATTCTAGTGGGAATTCCAAGTCCTGTTAGCTACAGTTCCAGGAGCTTCAGTTAAAGCCTAAGATCTCATCTCGGAGATTAGCTTTGACAATTAGGCTGGAAGAGAGGTCTATGGTATTGCGATCACTGCTCCTTGTTCTGGGAGGTCTACTAGACGCCACCCCTTACTGAGCCAAGAGGACAGCAGTAGTTTCAGCTGGTTACACACCATAAATCTCAAGCTCTCGGTACCCACATCCATGTGAGAAGAGGTGAAGCCAAGCAAGCCTTGCTCAATAGATAGCCTCCAGTGTAAGACTCAAGTCCAGGAGCAGGGCTGGCTAGAGGGCACGGTGAAACCCAAACTAAAGCATGCCAAACACACAGGTGCTGGAGAGAAAATGAAAATAAGCGAACTGCTCAAAAGCCAGGACCTCAAGCAGGAACTATTTCAAGGCAGGTCAGAAAGAGAGGCCGAGGAGCGGCACTAACCCACCACTCCACCCCAGGACCAAGAACTGAACAGTCTTCAGCATGCTAAGCAAGTGCTGGGCCAACCCGCCACACCCCCAGCCAGGATCCAACTCTCTACTGAGGTTTTTAGGATGACATCAGTACTGCAAACAAAGTTGTGCAGTTTCAGAAACTGGCTCTGATTGGTGCAGTGAGAATCTGAAGAGCATTCTTCATCCTCTCTGTTTCTTGCTTTAATCAGAATACTTCAGACTGAATGCATCCGAGGTGGAGAGCTGCGCTTTGTGCCATCTCAGCACCAACACTCTATGGGAAATGCAAGTTTTTAACTTGACAAACCGACGGCCACTTAAGGAGAATGAGGATTTGTTTTTCCAGATGAAATGCCTGAAAGGTACAAAGCTTGCATTCAAAACAATGAACAGAACATAAAACAAAACAACATCCTATGGGAACCAGAAATAAAGACACAACAGAATTTTTAAAAAGAAACACATAAAGCCAATGGGGAAGGACCAAAGAGAAGAAGGAGAGAGAAATTAACACATGAAAGATTGTACCATTTCCTAAGGGAAAAACTGAAAGTATTTCCCAAGATAAAATTCCAATTTAAGCTGTAAGTCTAATATAATTCAAATAGCAATCTAAAGGGAGTTTTAGAGGTATATAAGAGAAAGAGTTGACAAAAACATTCTAACTTCTTCTAGAAGTGAAGCCTCAAAATGTCCTCCTCTTGTATCCACACTCTGTAGAAACAGGGGGGCTTCCCACTAGCCCTGAGCGTGCACTGTCCATCACAGCGCAGAGCCTCATCTGGGTGAAGAACATCACTCTGGTACAGAACAGGAAGACTAACGGGCAGAAACAAACACAAAGTCCAGGAAGTGACTTCAGGACAGGATATGCTGAAGAAAGGCTTCTTCCTCGGAGGTGAGGGCATACAGTCACCATGCAAAATGGGCATTTTCACACAAATAAAAATCAGCCTTCAAGAAAACTTCTTAGAGCTGGGCGTGGTGGTGCACACCTTTCATCCCAGAACTCCGATGCAGAGGCAGGTGGATCCTGGGGAGCCTGGTCTACAGGGTCCAGGACAGCCAGGGCTCTTTACACAGAGAAACCCTGTCTCAAAAACATTTTAAAGTTATATGTATGTGTGTAAGCCTGCATGAGAAGATGTGCACCAAGCACACGCCGGAACTGTGGGGGCCAGAGGATGGTGTCTGCAACTCTGGAGCTGACTTATAGGCAGTTGTGAGCCATAGTGTGGGTGCTGGGCACAGATCCCTGGTCCTCTGCAAGAACAGTAAGTGCCATCTCTCCAGCCTTGAAGAACTTTTAATCAAGCCAAAATCACCAGAAATAGAGCACTTGGAGGCCCAAAAGCTAAGAATGGATTTCTGTTGATTGCATTTTCTCTTCAGCTGAAACTGGAGCACAACACAATGCTATATAAAGAATCTTTCATTGACAAGGACGCTACTTCCAGTTAGTGGTAATGCTACAACTAGTGGAGGCATGAAGACAACTGAGGAAATATCCAGAGGGAAATGAAACCAGGATCCCAAATGTTCAGCAGTACTTGAAGTCAGCTAAGAATGATCAGAAGCCCCAGGAAAAGGCAGCATCTTGTTCTTGCCTCATCCAAACAGCCAAGGGCCACCCACAGCTTCCACTCATTTTGAGGTAAAGAAGGAAAACCAATGAAGGTCAATCTTAGTTATCCAAATGAGAATTGCTCTCAGAACTGAAAAGAGCCTTAAGACCAAGGTCCCATTCAGAGAGCCCTGACCTCAGGGAAAGGCAGACTGGATAGAGTTGTGAGGGCACAGTGATGAGGGGCGTAATTGTTTGCAGTGTCCATAATAGTTAATCAGTCCCTCTACGGTTTGGGTTTGGGTTTTTTCCAAGACAGGGTTTCTCTGTGTAGCCTTGGACAGCCTTGTAGCCTGTCCTGGACTGAACTCACTTTTAGACCAGGCTGGCCTCAAACTCACAGGGATGTGTCTGTCTCTGCCCCCCTGACTGCTGGGGATTACAGGTGTGTGTCACTGTGCCTGGCTTTCAATCCCTCTTTGTTAACCCATCACATATTCTTATCTATGGCCGCTAGAAAAGACTAAATGAAATGCTATGGCAGCCATTTTTATGTGATAAAATTAGGTGATTTTTCTGGCTACTATTGGTCATATATTTCATTTTTCTAAAGAAAATAAAAATTATAGTTGAGAGTTGCTAGTACATGCCTGTAATCCCAGCACGAGGGAGGCAGAGGAGTAGGGCAACCACAGTTTTAGGCCAGCTTCAACTACACAGTAAAGTCTAGCCTCAAAAGATGAGTACAAAACCAAAACCATAGTCAAACGAAACATACAGGGAAAAAAAAATCTCCCCTTAAGGTAACTGTTAGAGTAACATCTAAGCGTTTTCATCCCATCAGATTAATCTGCCAAGGTTTCTGGCAATAAAAGAATTCACAGTAGGGAAGAAAGTAACCTTTGTATTGTTAAAGTTAAAGAAACTGCTTGAAAAGGTTGGAAGTAAACAGTGAGAACATACGCCATTCACTGTGAGATGATTCATACAAAACCATTTTGAACACACAGAACTTACCCTAATACATTGAAAATGTCAAAATCTACAATGTGGTAAAAATAATATTTTCCTTGTCAACGAATTTCTTCAGTTGCTGCAAGTTAGTCATCACTCACAAACCTAGTGTCAGAAGCAAGATGACCAAGTGTTTTTGCAAGCAAAAGAATTCACTGACAACTGAAGGGATGTATTTATATCTCAGAGCGACAAGAAACTGCCAAACATTGAAAGCAACAGGGTACAAAGAGATTAACTTCCAAAATCATGGACCACTTAAAAAGACCAGTGATTAAAGCTGATTATTCAGTGTGCAGTGACACTTAGCAAAGTATAAACTGTGAAAGCTTGTGAGAACTGGGACACGGTCCTCACCACACAGTATCAGGAGCGCACTCAGCAAGAGAGGTGAGGCGTCACACCCAGTATCAGGAAAGCGACACAGTTTTCAGCACCAAAGCTTACTTCTCCTTAAAGACAACAACAAACACTGTCAAATGTATCACAAAGGCCATTCCGGCTACGAAACGAAAAGCTTGAGGACGGGCCTCACCCTCACGGAAGTGTGATTTGCTTTGACTTGTCCACGACTCACTGGAAGATTAGATCAAAAGATCTCTTAACCAGGTGTGGTGGCTTGTGCCTATAATCCCAGAACTTGAGTAGGATGACTACTAGTTCAAGGCCACCTTGAGCTCACACTGAGAACCTGTCTCAAAGAAAGATGTTCTAATTCACATTTCACAACTGCAAGTCAGGTACAGAGATACTTGCCTGTAATCCAAGTACATTAGAGGCCAAGACTGGAGGATGTGAGTCCAAGACCAGCCTAGGCTACCCACTGAGATCTCGTCTCCAACAAACAAAACTAACAACCATTCCCTTTACAGTCTTATCCTTAATCACTGTAAGCTCACCGGGCACAGCTAGACAGTGACAGTCTACACATTATATAGTTTTGGATATTTTGCCTGCATGTACCCAAAAAATTCAAAAGAAGCGTCAGATCCCATGGAACTGCAGCTACAGAAGATTGTGAGTCACCATGTGTGTGCTGGAAACTGACTCCAAGTCTTCTGGAAGAGCATCCAGAGTTCTTCAATGCTAAGCCATCTCTCCAGCCCCATTTTGGAAGTCTTATCCCTTGAAATCACGACACGCTCCATGTTGGTGCTGCTGTGCGCCAGTACCTGAGAGTCTTATGGGAAAAGCTCCATCTGTCTCCTGATGCTTCCTCATGTTAACTGACAGGATGTTGTGACATTTGGAAACTGGTCTGACTGGATGGCCACTGCTTCATAAACATCCTACTAAACCCTCAGGATGCCAGGGTAGAGAACTGGTGCTGAACTGGCCACTCACTAGAGAAAGCAGCCCCTTTAGAAGGTCAGCAAGCTCAACCTAATAAAAGACAAGCCCCTAAGGTGCTACGTCCTCAGGCTAGAAAGGCCAACACTCTTTGGATATGAGAGTCCTCTGAGGTCAAACATGCCAAAACAACAATGAAATATTTTTTAAGAGGTTTCATGTTTGGACAATACCACATACAAAATGTGAAAGAGCACACAGGTAGGTGTTAAACTGTTGTTCAGAAAAGATCACTTCTTAAAGATCCTATTATCTAATAGATTCTCCTTTTATCAAATGGATAAACACCAGCAGCAACTGTTCCCAACCAGCTAATCCCAGAAGAACAGCGAACAACATTTACCTCTTCTAGGCTGGGGAGCGAAGAAGACGACACTGTTCGAGATGACAGAGGGTGAAATGGCTCTTGACCAACAGCATGGTGATGGTTCTGGATGTGTACAAAAGGGTTCTGCGGTGGCCTGGGAGGCAATGGAGGTAGGCCATAGGGGAAGCCTGGCCCTATTAAATGATTCTGCTGCAAGTTAGCAAAATTCCATGCTCCTTCAGGAGCCAGGTATTTCAGGGGAGGTGGAGCAAGGTGTTCAGATGGCAACGAAAAGGGGGAGCCAAAGAGCTGAGGAGGGAGGCGCTGTGGGAATGCTGGGCTGTGGGCCACTCCAAGGTCTCTGCTGTTGTCATTAACGTTAGAAAACTGGCCACTGTGGTCTGTGGCGGAAGGGGGAGACGGGACCGCTGGTGGGCTTCTGGCCTGAACTTGTCTGTATTGCAAAAGTCTTGATTGCGGTGGTGGCATTTCAGCAAGCTCTCGAGTGTCGCCTTGATCACGATGAGACAGCTCTCTGAGCAAGTCTTGAAACCTACATGAAGACAAGAAAATATGAGGGAAAAACAAAGGAGGGTCCCCAGTGCATTAAGGAGAGCAAAGTCAACCACACTAATTTTGGGCAACCAAATCACAATACCTAATTAGGGTTTGCCATTAATTAATCCAAAACTAAGTACTGGCACTCAAGTTTCAGAACTGGAGATGCTTGAGAAAAACGTCAATTACCTAATTGTCTCTTGTTTTTATCTTTGCATGAAAATATCCATCCCTGCCTTAACATGAAATTGGAAGGGACAGAAGACCACCATGTGCCAGGGAGATAGTTCAGCAGGTATAGATGCTGGCCACCAGTTCCAGTTAATTCCTGGAAGACACACAGTAGAAGAACCAACTCCCCACATGTTGTCCTCTGACCCCACATTCATAGTACACATACACAGCCACACACATAGATAGATAGATAGATAGATAGATAGATAGATAGATAGATAGATAGATGGATGGATGGATGGATGGATGGATGGATGGATGGATGAATAAATAAATAAATAAATAAATAAATAAATAAATAAATAAATAAATAAATAAATAA